TCATTTCTGTTTTTAATAGTTCTGCCTTGTCTTCTCATTCACATTCTAGGCATAGGTAGAGTTGTTTCAGTTCTTTATTCGTATATTTAGTTAGACCATAGTCCATTCTTTTTCTCTTTGTTTCCTCTGACTTTTTATATACAGACAGATAGAACGATTGATATATATTTCTCCCTGTTTGAGAAGTGGCCTAGACTTCCATTTTTTCTCTTGTTTTAGTATATATTGTCTGTATACGGTGATTTTTATTAGTCCTATTCACAGTTTTGTGTGCATATATGTGTGTGTGTGAGAGTGTGAGAGTGATTTTTATATTCATTTCTTCCATTTGTTGCACGATAAAATTTTACACACTGGCACTCTGTTCATTTGATTTGTCAGCCAGAGGTTACGACCTGGGGATGGTGAGAGCATTTCTCATTTTAGCATTGCCTGGTGTATGACGTTCAATTATTCGATTTTTAATCGAAATTTTAGATGAAAAATCGCACAATCGAAGTTCGATTATTCGAAAATGATGCATGCCTGTGAGATACTCAATCTACGCCAACAACAGAAGGACATCTCGCAACGGTGGATCCAAATTCTATGAAAAACCGGGAATTATTTTTTCTCGTTCTTCTCAACAGGGCCGGCGCTTCGCTGAAACGTTCGAAGAAAAGAGGTGTACGAAGTTGAAGTATTAAGTACTTTTGTAGAAGAAAATGGATTTGTTTATGGCGAAGCGTGCATCCGAATTCCTAGTGCTCTTAGTTGTACAGATAGCTGTCACTGAGTGAGCCAGATGGATGATCCCAATGGCGTGCCATTTCTTTGACGGATACATGGTGTTCAAAAAACATTTCGTCGATTAATTGAGAAATTGTGGAATTTTGTAGTAGTTGTGGAACTAATGGTAATTCAATCGAAGGCGTGTCTATGTCGAGCTTAATGTTATGATCTGCTCCCAATGACATCTTCAGCAGATCATAACTTGTAGTTTTTTTATTCTTCCTTGTCTTTCCAGTACTGTTGTCCAGTATACATTGGACATGTTGCGCAACATTACGTATTAGTCAACTTATCGTCTTATTCAGATATTGTTCTTTTTCACTATCCGCCTAAACTTCCTTTCTCATTTTCTCTCTCTCGTCACTTCTTAACTTTATCATCTACTATCAACACGTTTTCTGTTATCGTTGTTCACTTATATATTCATTTTAAACTTTAACAATAAAGTATACGTTCTAAACTTCGTAGTAGAAGATTAAATAGTCAGACAAGTGAAGGTAAGAAGTTCTGTTAGTCTTTCTCGACTCCACCCGGGATCAAGGTTCGCTGAGTTTGATCCGAATATACGGATGCCAGCGTGTCGATCAAGAAAAGAGAAGTACTGAGAAACCTAACAAGTGGGGCCTGACCGATTCGCCATTTGGTAACTATTTTACGATATTAAATGCATTACAGTTAAAAAAGAACTTGTTCAGATCACGTAGACACTAACACAGCCTCCACTACTCATAAGTTATATATATACATTGTAGTTGTTCATTTTACTTGAATGTGGACCCCTTATTATATCTTCCAAAGTCAAAGAGACTATAAAACCTTACGGAGAGATTGGAGTCTGATCCATTCTCAGTGAAGTACGACTATCCTTTGTTTTTTTTACGAGAAATATCATTTTTTTGTTAACTGACCTTATTTAAGCGCTTTTATTTACTGCAAAGATAAATCACGCTGAGTGCTCAGTTTTTCTAGTTTTTTACGTAATTATAAACTACATCATACATTAGATAATTTATGGGTTTATATACGAAAATAAACTCGCCGCAAAGCTATCTTAAGCTCGCATATGAATAAAGGCACTCGCAGCCAAATAAATTTAAGTAACCGAAAAATACAAGACATTCAATGGCAGCCTACACCTCGAAAACAAAACAGAAATATAACTCTGACCCATCACGAAACCACTGGTACATTATACGATCTCTCACAACAATCAATCCAACTGCCACAACAAAATACTAATTTTCTTCAATCAATCATGTCAGAGAACCAAGTAGAACAGGATATGAAACAATTACTAGAACTCAAAGAATACCAGAAAATAATAGAAGAAAAATATCTACAGAAAATTCCGGTTTTAAAAGGCATAGCAGAAGAGAATCTAGAAGAATGGTTTTATGTTATCGAACAAATATTTACAAAATTACTTTACCCGCAAACCAACTGGATATGTACGGCAATATTGTTTTTGGACCCCTCATTACGAATGCAATGGTACGAAACAATAAAAGCACAAATAAACTACAATGAATGGAGTACTTTCAAAGACCAGCTACAACAATATTTCGCAAACAAATTCACATTGCCAGAACAAGGAGCACAAATATCAATAATATCAGAACCGAAAGAAAATGTTGTCACTTGGCTAGAACAGGTAGAACAGCAATTTGCATTAGCGGAATGGTCGAATGAAACAAAATTGAAATATGTTTCAAATCAATTGAAGGAAGATGCATTGGTATGGTTTAACGAACAGAAAGATATGTTTACATCATGATCCCAATTCGTTGAAGTAATTACGAAAGCCTACACATCACCATATAAGCATGATTTGGCTTTTATACGTTTAGAACACTACAAACAAAAAAACACTAACCAAACTGTCCCGCAATGTTATGTTGAAATTATCAAACTATGTAAAGAAGCAGATTCAACGATGTCCGATACAACAAAATTAAGACATCTGCTCTCTGGATTGGATCCAACATTACATTACGAAGTAAGGAAGAAAAATCCAACTACACCGAAACAATTTTTGGAATTCGCTCAATTTGAAGAAGCTCTTAAGGGTTTAATCAGCACAACTGATAACAATAAATTACCACTGACACAACCGCTACACAGCCAATCATTTTACAATTCAATACACGAAAATGTACAAAATAACAACAATCGATTACCGTATAATCGACAATACAGAATGAATCCTCAACTTTAGCAAACGTCAGAGTATTATCCACCTTGTCCCAATAATCCGGAAAACAACAATCTGGTTAAACCAAATCAACAGCAAAAACGTTCAAACTGTTGTTATGTATGTGGTGCTTCCGACCATTGGGCTCGGAACTGCATTCGTTTTCCATAACGGAGTCAACGAACGATGGTGTTGTCTGCGATAGAAATACTAAAAATCCATCTAAATCATCAATTTTTATCACTACACTCATAAATTACAAGCGAATGAGAGTAATGATCGATACTGGAGCAACTAGAACACTCATTAACGAAAAATCATTACGTCAAACAAAACATAAGAAATATATCAATAAAACACAACTTCAATTTGTTATGGCAGATGG